AGTTACATAGGGGAAACTGGGAGAAGATTGGCTGATAGGTTTACTGAACATCTAAGGGATATTGAGCAATGTAAACCTTCCCCGGTCTCTTCTCATTTCAACCAAAAAGAACATAAAGGTGCATTGGATGTGACCATTACGGCACTGATTTCATGCAGTAACACACCAGATAGGGTTAAAATGGAAAATAAATTTATTCAGCTGTTTGGCACCATATCTCCATATGGTATTAATCAAATAATATCCTACTGATGTTTCTCTGTTTCCCTATATTTCATCTATTTTCTTATTGCTGTGTGTTGATATATCCCTGGATATTCTGGTCCATTATTATTGTGGACTTTATTTTTCACAGTGTCAATATTTATATTCTCTCGCTTCCTGTTTTCCCACTTCCGGAGACCCGAATGAATACTGCTTGAATTGTCTACTGTGCTCTTTTCTTTGTTATATTTTCATTTCTATTGTTGGCTGAGGAAGGCTTTATGCCGAAACGTCCGTGTTTTTTGTCCTGTCATCTTATTTCAAGCTTCCACATACCTCGTTTCGCTATTTCATTCATTTAAATTAACAGTCAGTTTTCAGTTATTCTACTGATTAGTTCAATAAATTTCTACTTTTTTTGTCATTATTTTTATATTGCTCTACATGCTTGACACTCCTCAGCATTCCAAGTTATTCCTTTAAAAAATTATAATTTAAAATATTTGCATATAAAGCAATTTAACCATCATGAAAGAAAATAATCTTATTATTCCTATTTCATTCCTTATCATTTGAACATTCAGTCATTTGGCAACTACTTACCATCCAGTGCTGAACAACCATTAATTTGTGCCCATTTTAAAATTCAATCTGATTCTGTGAACAAAACAAGTTTATGGGAGGAACAAAAACTTACTATCACATTGGAAAAACACAAGTCATTCATTTCTGTAAGTTAAATAATCTTTCATTAAAAAAATGTGTTCAATATGAAATGATTATTAACCATTGTTATTAAATTATTTAACTTATATAATAACTGATCAAGATAATGTCTATAAGTTTGAATCTTATAATCTTTGTATTTATTTATAAACGATTAATTTATCTTGGTATTTATAGTTGAGAGTCAGTTATGAGCTCAAATTTAGTTCAAGAATGATTTGTTTAATTTTTCAAAAGTTATGCTGACTAAAATTACTGTATTTATTGGCGTATAACATGCAATTTTTCTCCCTGAAAATAGGGGGCAAATGATGTGTGCATGTCATATGCCGATATAATGTTTAGTTTTTTTTCCTGAAATTTCCTTCTTAAATTGAGGTGCGTGTTATACGCGGGGGCGTGTTATACGCCAATAAATACGGTATATTTAATCGCATAAACTTTTTAAAGATTATGTTTAATTAAGTAACATGCAAACAAAGAAACTAAACTTTTAATATGTAGGCTACAGAAATTGACTCTTTAACTGAACATTTAATCTATACAGAAAGGGCACAATGAAAGTCACTCTCTAGTCCATCTCCAGTGCATGACTACTGACCTTGATCCCCACAAATTATTAACATTCATCAAGCAAGCAAGGTCATACAATGCACTAGCTAAAGGAATGATTTTGTACACATGCAGGTGAGTTAAGATGTGTTTACTTGCACGTGAGATAATGGTTGTATACATGCAGGTGAGTTAATGTTTACGATCTCAAACAGTTATAATAATTTCCTTATCACTGATTGGTGAATAGTTGGACAATATGTCTCACTATTGATTAATTTTTACAATAGTAGCAGTTTTATTTCAAACAGAATCACTGTTTGCTTATTTTTGTGTACAAGTGTACACCTATTTAAGCTGTGGTTCTCAGCCAATGTTGTCCTATGAATCCTATGTTGAGTCAGTTTGCCCAATGATTACTACTCAGAATGATTCATTAATATTATTAGCAATATATTTGATAATAACACATACGAAAGGAACCAATTACCATTCAATTACCTTTACATTACTAACATCACTGAGGCTAGTAACCCATTAATGATTAAATGAAATGATAAATTATGTTATTGAGATTTTAATATAAAATAAAGTCATAATTAAGCTACATTTCTTTTCCTTTGAAGATAAGTGAACACTCCATTAAAAAGCAAAATGTATTTTTTATTTGAAGAATTTTTTTAATCGTAGTCAATTTTTTCCCCCAAAACTTAGAAATGGCGCTAGATACAGTGGCCTGGCCTGTGTGTTGTCGCTCCTGGTGGACAGAATGGAACATGATTCATGCCTGACAGTTCCCCTTGTTGTTGGATCGGTCAAGTCCATAAGACCAGAGGTTATCCCCACTGTGGTGAGTTGAGGATTTACATCATAATGTCGTACACATTTGTAGTAGCTCATTCCTCTCTTCATTGTAGCTCATTCCTCTCTTCATTGTAGCTCATTCCTCTCTTCATTGTAGCTCATTCCTCTCTTCATTGTAGCTCATTCCTCTCTTCATTGTAGCCCATTCCTCTCTTCATTGTAGCTCATTCCTCTCTTCATTGTAGCTCATTCCTCTCTTCATTGTAGCTCATTCCTCTCTTCATTGTAGCCCATTCCTCTCTTCATTGTAGCTCATTCCTCTCTTCATTGTAGCTCATTCCTCTCTTCATTGTAGCTCATTCCTCTCTTCATTGTAGCTCATTCCTCTTTTCATTGTAGCTCATTCCTCTCTTCATTGTAGCTCATTCCTCTCTTCATTGTAGCTTACTGGAATCACATAAATATCTTGAACTATTATCTTACACTATATTATAAACCAATGGTTCTTAAAATAGGATGTACAATTGTTGGGGGTGCGGCTAAATAGCTCTGAAGATTTAGGGGCAGTGGCGAATGAAATCTCAATTATTTTAAATAATTCCAACAAACCATCAAACAAAGAAATATTCAAAAGAGGATATACTATTTGAGGGCCATAAATAGACATCAATTAAAGATCATAGAGAAATGACCTTGGTTATAAACCAAAATCCAAAGTACAAGTGGTGATACCAACAATAAAAATGTATGGGCTAGTTAGCGAGGCCCTATGAATAGACCTCACGTTTTTGTTCATGGGCAAAAATCCTAGACATTCTGTGTGCTGGGTGGCCAAGTGGGCTTCTAAACTTAGCCAATCCCAAGACTTGAGTTCAATCCCCAGCAAAAACATAACCAGCACCCCAGGTGAATGGGACTTGTTGACCTTGGATGACGACTCACCTGGAGTCATGCATGAGGCAAGGCAATGACACAATGAAAATTCCGACAACTGCTACAACATAGAAGAGCACAATGAAATACAGAAGAAACACTGCTGGTCATCTACTGCATCCTGGTCTATTTTACAGTCATCTTGGCTAAGACCTGCCATTGGATCAAATAGGCGATGGCAAGAAAGTGAGGCTAGTGACCTGAGCAACTCTCCCTCACTTTCAACCAAACACAGCTCAAGTCAAGGCTACAACTCAAGTCAAGGCTACAACTCAAGTCAAGGCTACAACTCAAGTCAAGGCTACAACTCAAGTCAAGGCTACAACTCAAGTCAAGGCTACAACTCAAGTCAAGGCTACAACTCAAGTCAAGGCTACAACTCAAGTCAAGGCTACAGCTCAAGTCAAGGCTGTTACTTAAGTTGAAAATTGCCTTGGTCATCTTTGTGTGCAAAGGATGAACAATAATAATGATAGTAATAATAATAATAATAATAATATGCTAGACATTCTCATTACGTCCATAAGTTCCGTTCTGAGAAGACAAACCAGATTTTGGACGTGTGTTACTTCATAATGAAGTTTGTTGGCATTGAAAGGCATCTGCATATGTGAAGACTTCGTTTCTTACAACAGCCAAATCGGTCATTTGCGAGGAATATCTAAAAATTAAATTAACAAATAAATTTGCAGTTGCGAGTAAAAATGTTGGCAATCACGAGGTGTTCAGGTCTACAAGAAACTGAGGAAACAAAAGTATTCTCGCACTATTTGGATAAGTTAAGTAAAGATATTTCTAAGCAATTAGAGAATCTTCTCAAATTCAGATAATTCTTATGGAAATTCAGAGATGGGGGATGGTCTGAAATGTATTTATTTATTTTGAACAGGACCAGTACAGAGTTCTCTATGATGTGCTACAACGATCCACTGACACCGCCCAGTATGGCAACGTTGGCAATTTCACCACAGCAACAAAAAGTTCTGATCTAAGTTTGGATAAAGACGCAAATACATACGCCAACCTTTAGCCTGATTATAAACTTATATTGCTGTTATAAGAAGTATTGCCTTTAAGCTGAGTTGCTGTGTGGCGTCGGACATTAAGTACGGGAATACAGGGACTAGGACCCAGTCTAGGGATTTTATAATCATCAATATGCATGTTTTTTTATTCGTTTTGAAATAAAGATCCTTTGCAACAATGACCCCTTTCAGCAATGACCCCTTTCAACAATGAACCCTTTCAGCAATGACCCCTTTCAACAATGACCCCTTTCAACAATGACCCCTTTCAACAATGACCCCTTTCAACAATGACCCCTTTCAACAATGACCCCTTTCAGCAATGACCCCTTCAACAATGACCCCTTTCAACAATGACCCCTTTCAACAATGACCCCTTTCAACAATGACCCCTTTCAACAATGACCCCTTTCAGCAATGACGCCTTTCAACAATGACCCCTTTCAGCAATGTCCCCTTCAACAATGACCCCTTTCAACAATGACCCCTTTCAACAATGACCCCTTTCAACAATGACCCCTTTCAACAATGACCCCTTTCAGCAATGACGCCTTTCAACAATGACCCCTTTCAACAATGACCCCTTTCAACAATGACCCTTTTTTGACACATTGACCCTTTGCAATAACAACCCCTTGCAATGTTGACCCTTGCAACAATGACCCTTATAGCAGCATTGACCCTTTACAAGAATGACCCTTGTTTGTTTGTTTTTCACCAGTATTGATTGATTACATGGTATAACTAAAAATAACACTTCTTTTTTTGTACAAATTTTGTGCTCCGTAGCTTTATAAATAACCCACAGATGATGTCCACCAACAAACAGAGGGCATTCGTAAACGTGCTGATTATATATGTACATAAACAAAAATTCTATCACAGAAGTTACGTTGTTTCAAGTTAAAGGGGAATACATGGTATATTTTGAAATCAAGAAGAATTTATGTCCTGTACAAATGTATTTTTTAATGTAATACTGTGTATAAACATGTTTGGAGGAATTTTTTTAATAAACTACATCAACTGTCTACTCACTACGTGTGGGGTATCAGTGTGTGTGGGTGGTGTGGTGTGTGTGGGTGTATACATGCAGATTTGTGTGGGTGTGTGTACCTGCGGACTTGTGTGTGTATGTGTGATTATAACCATTCAAATAAAAATATCTAATTAATTAAAATGCAAATTATTTTTTATGCTTTGTTTGATTGTCTGCATATTTTCTGTTTACGAGAGGTGTGTTTAACGAGAAGGGTGTAATAAACAAGAAGGGTGTGTTAAACAAGAAGGTTGTGTTAAACAAGAAGGTTGTGTTAAACAAGAAGGCTGTGTTAAACAAGAAGGTTGTGTTAAACAAGAAGGCTGTGTTAAACAAGAAGGCTGTGTTAAACAAGAAGGCTGTGTTAAACAAGAAGTCTGTGTTAAACAAGAAGGCTGTGTTAAACAAGAAGGCTGTGTTAAACAAGAAGGCTGTTTTAAACAAGAAGGTTTTTTTTAAACAAGAAGGCTGTGTTAAACAAGAAGGTTGTGTTAAACAAGAAGGTTGTGTTAAACAAGAAGGTTGTGTTAAACAAGAAGGCTGTGTTAAACAAGAAGGCTGTGTTAAACAAGAAGGCTGTGTTAAACAAGAAGGCTGTGTTAAACAAGAAGGCTGTGTTAAACAAGAAGGCTGTGTTAAACAAGAAGGCTGTGTTAAACAAGAAGGATGTGTTAAACAAGAAGGATGTGTTAAACAAGAAGCCTGTGTTAAACAAGAAGGCTGTGTTAAACAAGAAGGTTGTGTTAAACAAGAAGGCTGTGTTAAACAAGAAGGCTGTGTTAAACAAGAAGGTTGTGTTAAACAAGAAGGCTGTTTTAAACAAGGAGGCTGTGTTAAACAAGAAGGTTTTTTTAAACAAGAAGGCTGTGTTAAACAAGAAGGCTGTGTTAAACAAGAAGGTTGTGTTAAACAAGAAGGCTGTGTTAAACAAGAAGGTTGTGTTAAACAAGAAGGCTGTGTTAAACAAGAAGGCTATGTTAAACAAGAAGGCTGTGTTAAACAAGAAGGTTGTGTTAAACAAGAAGTCTGTGTTAAACAAGAAGTCTGTGTTAAACAAGAAGGTTGTGTTAAACAAGCTAGCATGCAACCTTAATTAGAAAATAATTCGCTCCTCTGATCTCAATGAATAACAAAAAGTTGGTACTTGTTAAAAAAACATTGATTGGTGTCTGTTGTGTGCAATTATGTGGTGTGCAATTATTGGATGAGTCTATTTGAATTGATTTACAACATATGGCAGAGAGACAGTGTTGTTAATGTGCTACCTCTAAAGTGAGTGGATGAGCTGAAGGTATGCTACCTCTAAAGTGAGTAGATGAGCTGAAGGTATGCTACCACTCTAGTGAGTGGATGAGCTGAAGATATGCATCGATTCAGGAGGTCAAATCTCAGTAACATCCAAAGCAAACATCCGTCAACGAATGCCAACACCTGTCATCGAAGGCCAACACCTGTCATCGAAGGCCAACACCTGTCATCGAAGGCCAACATATGTCCTCGCAACACGTGAATATGGATGAAATGGACCATCTTTCCGCTGAACATGAGGAAACAACTTCAAAAGATCCTTCATATTTTATGTCATTTTCACTCTGAATCTGTCTTGAGTTACTAGTATCAACCTAGTAGTGTCCTAATATCAAACTAATGAATGTCAAAACAAATAAAAAATCTGGAATAAAGTGTGTTAGGTTCAATCTTTCGTTACTGACAGTGAATGGTGGGACATGTCTTAACATATCCACGAAATGGTGAGACATGTCTTAACATATCCACGAAATGGTGAGATGAGACATATCTTAACACATCCATGAAATGGTGAGACACGTCTTAACACATCCACAGAATGGTGAGACACATCTTGACACATCCACAGGATGTTGACACACGTCTTAACACATCCACAGAATGGTGAGACACGTCTTAACACATCCAAAGAATGGTGAGACATATCTTAACACATCCACAGAATGGTGAGACATGTCTTAACACATCCACAGAATGGTGAGACATATCTTAACACATCCACAAAATGGTGAGACATGTCTTAACACATCCACAGAATGGTGGGACATGTCTTAACACATCCACAAAATGGTGAGACATGTCTTAACACATCCACAGAATGGTGAGACATGTCTTAACACATCCACAAAATGGTGAGACATGTCTTAACACATCCACAGAATGCTGAGACATGTCTTAACACATCCACAGAATGCTGAGACAACAGGCGGTAGTTGACCAACGGCTATACAAAATGTAAAAAAATGAGACGGTTCTCCATTATTATATTTCATTTAATTTTTTTATAAGGTAATTTTATCCAGGGCCGGCGCCACTGGCAAGCTTTACTTTAGCACCCCTTTTAAGTAATATCATAAACTTTTTTTGCAAGGAAAAAAAATAATGATTAGGTTATGAGTTGTTTTGTTTTTTGGGTTTTTTTTTTCTTTGTTTTTTTTTCGTTTTTTTAACAATGAACAATACTTTTTTTTTTTTGTTAACATTGAACAATACTTTTTTGTTAACATTGAACAATACTTTTTTGTTAACAATGAACAATACTTTTTTGTTTGTTTGTTAACAAAGAACAATACTTTTTTGTTAACAATGAACAATACTTTTTTTTTTTTGTTAACAATGAACAATACTTTTGTTCTTTTATTTGTATTTGGAAAGTATGAAATAATAGCCTACTGATGACATTTGTTTCTCGCCTTTATATCAGCAAATCTTTTTATTACACTTTCTATATTTATATTCTTTGCAACATCATTTTCTATAGACAACATTACCAAAGAATTCACTCTGTCTTGAGACATGGATGGTCGTTAAATATGTTTTTATAAGCTTTAGTTTGCTAAAGCTTCCCTCGCCAGTGGCTAAAGTATTAGGTATTGTAAGCATATTCTTTATGCTACCTACAGACTTGCCATGATGGCCTGTAACGTAAGAATTTAGGCGGCTTAAATTGGACGCTTTACATCAGTAGGGAAATTATTCTTTGGCACCATCTAGTTCTGTCAACAGATCACATCCATTTGTATCGCTAATTTCTTGATGCCTTAATTTATTTCCCCAAACCTGGACATGCTGCTTTGAGCTTATCTTTATCTGGCAGATGTTTTGGGTTATTTAAAAATTCCTTTGTTATTAAAACTTTGTAGCTGTTTAAATCTCTCTGCTGAAGAATTTATAACTCTGTCTATCATTACAATGAACCTCTCTCTTTCTCCTCCCCTTGTTCTCTCTCTCTCTCTCTATTTTTCTCTCTCTCTCTCTCTCTCTCTCATCTCGCTTTGATCCCAAATGTACATAAATTGTTAATGTGTATCTAATTACAGCGTCACGTTCGTTTAACGGCGAAGAATTAATGGACACATCTCTGTGGGGGGTGGGGGGTGGGAGGTGTGATTGAATTAATTGACACGTTTCAGTGGGAAAAGATTGAACACAATCGATACAACCAGGTCGACGCTAAACCCGCCAAAAGATTGCAACAAATTCTTAAAGCAGACGTGCCTTCTTCATGCTTAATACAAACAAATTTGTTTTGTGAAATATTTAGCTTGCTTAGTGAGTACCTAGTAACTCATTTATCAAGACTTTACGGCAAAGCCCCAATTCAACAAAACATCTTTTCCAACTGTCCCTGGTGTTCAAAAAACTCACGCTGAATTTCGCTCACGTTGAAGATTGCATAAAAGAAATTAAAAACAGTGTTTTCATCTTTAATTGAAAAAAAAGCTATTTTATTATTGATTCTTCCTACTGCCTCCACTGTAAAGTAGAGATGTCCAGTAAAGACGTCCAGCAGCGATGTCCAGTAGAGATGTCCAGTAGAGACGTCCAGTAGATATGTCCAGTAGATGCGTCCAGTATAGATGTCCAGTGGATGAGTCCAGTGGATGAGTCCAGCAGAGATGTCCAGCAGAGATGTCCAGTAGAGATTCTAATAGAGACACCCAGTAGAGATTCCAGTAGAGATGTCCAGTAGAGATGTCCAGCAGAGATGTCCAGTAGAGATGTCCAGCAGAGACGTCCAGTAGAGATGTCAAGCAGAGATGTCCAGCAGAGATGTTCAGTGGTTGTTGTACAATTTCAAACATTCGCTGCCTTGATGCGTCAAAACCAGGTGGTTATATGCTATAGGGAAAAAAAACCACACACACAACCCCACACACACAATTGAAAACGACATTTCACTCAATAAAATTCTGGCCCTGGTGCCAAGCAGTTTTCATTATTTGGCGGGACCGTAAAACCCTTTGGCTCACCATCTGCAACTTGAAACAGACTGGATTCGTAGCGTCAACAGAGACACAGCACAGCGACATTCAAGCACAGCTACACTGTTAGAATATAAGAATTGGAAGAGTGCACTTTGCGTTGCGAAGCTTTCGCGGAAAATGGATAATGGATATTTATGGATCGCCCAACACAGAGGGCATGGAAAGTCATTGTGGCCGCTTCATCGACAGAGAGAAAATAGACATGGACACTTCTTCTAAGCACATTTCCTAGACGGATGTTTCATGGACATACCTCTAGTGACAGACACGTCATCAACAGATGTTTCATCGACAGACCTCTAGTGACAGACACGTCATCAACAGAAATTTCATTGGTAGATATTTCATCGACAGAAACTCCATGGAAGCCACTAAAGTGACAGAGAGGATATAAACATAGACACTGCGTCGAGTGATAGTTCATCAGCTGATACTTTTATGTATTTGGCCAGAAGGGAAGTAACACGAATGTGAACAAAGAGTGTTAAATAATGAATCCATTTTGTCAGGTTTTCAACGTTTATTTACATCGAGTATTTGTGTGTACATTACAATTGAGACACGGATACATAGAGATCACATTTGACTCATTTCTAACCATCAGAATATAGCCCCCCACCCCCTTTTCCCACCATCAATGACTCTGCCTACGCCCTCCCCCCCATTCATGACTCTGCCCACGCCCCTATCCACCCTCCATTCACCTCCCACCCACACACATGGTTCAGGTGTAATCATTTCATTACCCAGGTAATGCACTTGATCTCTTCCATTTCTCCCATTGGGTTCAAATTGTTTTCAAACGTTAGGTGCTATTTCGTACAGAGGCGTACCTCAGATATTAGGTG